ATTTTTTATCATTATTTTCTTGACGGTAGACACCATAGTCTTCTAGATCAGACTAAAATATTACGGCCCTACGACAAGTCGTTTAATTTAAAAAATTCTTCAAAGTTTGCAAAAATTAGTATCGTTTTTTGGACATTTGTCAAAATCAGACTTTTGATCGACGTATGCTCAAAAACGCGTGAACCGATTTCATAAATTTAAAAGCCATTTGAAGTATCTCGATGCGGACTATCGTTTGTCAGTTTTGTTCGACGATCTGCCAAGCCGTTTCTTTTAATTTGAATAAAAGTGTTAAACTTTTCGTCCACATTTAAGCTCATCCTACCGAACCGATTTTAAAAATCAAAAACTGTACGAAAGATATTAATTACGAATGATACTTATTAGTTTTAGGTAAAAATCTACCGGGCCTTTTTGTAATTAACGGTTGAAAAAAAAAAATTAAGCCGACTTTAATGGAATTTTTTTAGCAATATATACCATGGTCTTATAGAACTTACTGAAATATTACGGCTTTACGGCAAGTAGTTTAACTTTAAAAAATCATCATAGTTTAAGAAAATTAGTAGTTTTTTTTTTGACGTTTGTTGAAATTGAAATTAGACGATTAAATCCACTCGGAATACTTTTAATCACTCATAATATTGTTTATTATTGATTAAGTCAATTACTTACACATATCGGGAAGTTTATGTAACTTGCCTCAAGACCAACTAGTTTTGCACAGCATTCATATCAATCGAATGTTTTAGATAGATACTATATATTGAACAGATTAATTTTACATTACGGCTGGGTTTTATATATATATATATAGGTTTAATATAATATATATATATATATAAGGTTTTTCTTCCGAGTTTTTCTTCAGATGGTGAAATAATATGATAAAATTATTTTTGGGCATCCATCCAGTAATTAAAAACATTTTATTGAAAGAAATGTTTGTATTAAGAAAACATACGTTTCGGGGTCTTGACTTCCCCAATTTTCCGCAAACACGTACGCACACATTTTACATGTTACACAAACTCCAAGCTGACAACATGTGTTCGCTTGGAATAAGCTTTTTTTATAATAAAATACATTATTTATTTTTATTTTATTTTAATTTTACAGTTATTTAAAATTTATCATAACTCTACGTATTATCAATTTGTTGTTTCCTAGCTTTTTCATGCAATTTCATGTGTTTTTGTATTTTTTCAAATTTATTTGTATGGTGAGTTTCTTTACATTTGTTTATTATATGTTTGTTTTTCATTTTTATATACTTAACAATATATATTTGTTATAAAAACAAATTTATTAAATTGGTTAGATTTATGTTTGTAATTGTAGCACTGAAGATGGGTCAAATCAAGACCCAAAACCTAGGTTTTCTTAATAAAAACTTTCTTTCAATAAAACTGTTTTTAATTACTGGATGGATGCCCAAGAATAATTTATATATATATATATATATATATATATATATTATGTATGTATGTCCTTTTGGATGTACTCGTATTTTGTCCATCTCTAAATATGAAAGCTTTGTAGTCCATTTGTATATCCGCTTATTACGTAATCGGATTTCAGTTCCGGAAAGAGAAATGGCACGACTGGAAATGGTCGGAGCGAAACATATCTAGTGTTCATTTTTTTTCGAAAATATTAATGTGGATTCAAATCCCCGATATTGTTATATATACATGTGTAAATATACATACTAGTAAACCCGACGAACTCCGTTTCGCCACCAGATGGTTTCGTGAGAAAGATGAAGAAATTTTTGTTTGTTTTATATTTGAAAAGGAAAAATTTGATTTTATTACACAACAGTAATGAATATATTTCGATTACAAAAATGAAGTGTTTTTTAGTTGAACTTCTCTAAGTAAATGAAGTGAATCCGCAAATTATCCCTTTCATTGAAGTGCTTTTGGTAAACCACATTTTTGTTTTTGGTCTGACGTTAACACAAACAAAGCGGATGGATTTCCAACTCGTGAACAGGCAACGTATAAATGCCCATGTGAAAAACAATGATTTTCTTAATGGCACGATGCCATGCACCACTAATTTTCTTAGCTATAGACTTAGCTATAAACCTTGAATGCAAAATTGTCGAAATCGGTTCGTGCGTTCTGGAGTTATTTCGTCAGGAAGGAAAACCCGACTTATTTTTATAAATATATATATATATATACGTGTATATATATATATATATATATATATATATATGTAGATAAAATGATAATGGGTACTACTACCCTAAGGCAGGTCCGTAACTTAAATTATTTTTATAATATTATAATATTATATATGAATTCTAAAAAAAATTAACAAATAAATAGCAAAGTATACAAAAATCATCACCATGATTCACAAATCACAAGTTTCAGCATTTTTTTAAACATAAATTGTTAGAAAGATTATGAAGTAAAATATACATAATGTAGTGAATTTTATCAGCTTTAGCTTAAATTTTATCAAGCCAGATAGTCGAGAAAATATTTAATTAGCAAATCAATTATTTAAACATATCGCAACTTGCCCTAATAACAAAATGCCACTTACAACGAGTTTTAATTTTGATTAAATGAATTGTAAATTTATAAGGGTGAAAAGAACGTACCCACACCTTATTTGCAATAATTTATATATACAAAAATAAATTAGATTTGATCTATAATATTATATATGGTTAAACAGATATTAAATCTATAATATTATATATGGTTCAAAAGCAAATAAAATTGTTACAATACTGTATATGTTACTTTATAACATTTGAACAAACTTATATTTAAAAAAATGCTTAAAGCGATTTGTGGATCAACGATAACGATCTTCGTTAAGTTAACAGTGGGCATTTTTTTATATTTAGCTGATTTTTGCTCAAATTTGTTAAAATACTTATATAATATTATATGTTATTAAAAAGCTGATACAATGTACTACATTACTGTATATTTTACTACAAGCCATTCTGAATAGTTTGACACCAAAATTGTGAAAAGTAAAATAATATTAAATTTATTTTTGAAATAAATAGTTGAAAATTTCATCTAGACAGCCAAATCACTACTTGTCGATTTTTCAACATATCGATGAAAAGTTTATTTTGCTTAAGGCAAAATGCCACTTACACCTAATTTATTTAATTAAATAGAAAATTCGAACGAAAAACACCACTCCATCTATGAGTTGATATTCATACTTAATCAAAGAATCGAATCGCTTTCAAATTGCTACGATCGGTATAGCCGTTTTTTGACAAAAGTTGACGAAAGTTCAAAAATCTCAAGATTTTGATATCAAACGATTCTGAATGACTTGAGACGTCGAAAAACAATGTTAGCAAATCGGATATTCTGGCAAAATATTAAACATCTCAGAAGATAATTAAATAACAGTGAAAAATTAACTAGTGGTGTATGGCATCGTGCCTTAAGGTAAATTGCTGGAACTTCCGTACCGTAATTAAACAATCGAGGAATATTAAACGTTTTCAAAATATTATTACAAATAATGTGAATTCATTATTTTTGCTATCTTGTTATTTATATCTGAGCAAATCAAATGTAAATTATAAGTATATTTATAGAAATTCAATGATTCATTCGATTCAATTTAATATCAATTTCTAAATTATAATCATTCATTTAATTCCAATTAATCTTCAATATTTTCAATTAATTCATTATCTACATTTCATTTCAATATTTTATTCATTTTTTCAATTTTTAATCTAAAATTACAAAAATATTTTATGCAAAATAAAAAAAGATGTAATGATTTTTATCCTCAAAAGCAATTGTTTTGTCAATACAAGCAGAAAGTTTTTAGATTATTCAAATCTGACGCTTAGTTCACTCAAAAACTGCAATTTTTTGCACATTTAGCTCTGTATCTTCGAAATGGCTGGGCCTGCCTCTGCCAAAAACTAATCACCACTTCTCCCAATCATTACTAATTGAATGTTTTTTAGATCATTCAAATCCGATACTCCGTTCTCTCAAAAACTCGATTTGTATTTTCTGCACTCTTTGCTCCGCATCTTCGTAACTACTGGACCTGCCTTTGCCAAAAACTAATCAGTACACCTCCCTATCAATAGGAATCGAATGGTAAATAAATCATACAAATCGGTTGTTCCGTGCGCCCGGAAACGTAAATGAACACACACACGCACATCCATTTTTTCTGAGGTATGCCAGTAAAATGTTCAGAAACCTTCAGAACGTCGAGAAATGCAAAAATTTTAATTTTCAGATAAATATATAATTCAGTAAATCACTAATTACGAAAATTGTTGTGTGCTAAACAATAATAATAATAATATAAATTAATAATTAATATAAATTTAGTTCCCATGAAATCTTTCCCATATTTTAAATATTCATCGTTATCAAACCGACATCCATAGATAAAAGAAGAGTAGACATATTTGACAGTTTCGTAAGTACCATAAGCGCCGCTAGAGTTTTTTGGCGCCACTTGCACACTCTGTAGTCGGACATCTTCGAATGTATCTATGCTGCAGCGTGTGTATAACCTCCAAATAAATAATTCATTTTATTTTTGGACTTGGAATGGAAAACATAGGATTTTGAAAATATTAAGGCAATTTACTAGGAGTGGACTTGATTTCAAGGTATGTTGTATTTGTGCAAATTATTATAATTATATTACGTGTTCGGTTTTATGATTCTATTAAACGTGCACATGGGTGAAGCGTCAGAAATTACATTTAGGTTATGCAAGTTGAAATTATTTCTTAATTTTTTCGTTTTATTGAACATTTGCTCGATTTATGTGTTGAGTGAGAATCTTTTTCTCAATGCTTGATAAATGCTTTACTTGGAATAGTTTTATTAAACATGTTTGTCGAGGAAGGTTGTTCAAGTCGTGCTTGGGCTGAATTTTGTACAGTAATCATCATATGGCACAGTCGAATTAGATTATTCAGTTCAATTTCTACCTGGAGCTGGTTTAGTACAGGGTATTCTGTTTTTTTTTAATACTTTTCCAAAATTTTTGTTGAAATTGAAAATTTTTCATTGCCCATTTTATAATCACCCATCGACTCACTTTTATAAGTACATTCATTCACATCTGACACTTTTTTTAGGTTTAATTTTGATTACGAAGATACTTGGTAACTAGTTAATGAATAGAAATTTATCTGACTGCAGCCTGTATAGCTTCTCGATGACATGAGTGAGGTGTGAGGATTTTTTTCTTGGACTTAATCGTGGGATCTGGCAAAAATGGGGCCATTTGCTAGAAGGTTTGATTTCTGTTTTTTTGTGTTATTAAATATTTATTTTTAACTAATTAATTTAAATATGCCCGGTTTAAGTTTTGTTTGAGCATCTTTTCCAAATTTTGTTAAAATATCATGGAACTGTTTTTTATAGTTTAAAATCATGCTCCAGGTATATCTTGTCTAATAATCATTAGACTTTTGTCTAATAATTTGTACGAATTAATCAATGAATCAATTTTTTTCTAAGTATGTTTTAACATTTGTAAATTCTATTATTGCAAAGATATTTTTCATCATGGATAGATTTTGTTATTCGAATAGTTATAGATGAATTGTTTTTAAGTTTGAAGTTTTATTATTAATCTTAATGTTGATAATAAGCATTTTTATAATTTACAGAACAACTTATCATTCCAGGACTTGATACAATAGATTGATCCAATTCATAAGCAGATCGGCCAAATCTGAGATAAGTATACTTTTACTAGTTTTTGTAATCTCAATACGAATGAATTGATAGTCTATATTAGTATTATACTATTTTGCAGATTTTACCAGAAGCCGAATATATTGAATTATTATTAATTTGTTTTAAGAAGACTATTGGAATCCTTAGTGCTTATCAGAAATTTGAAGTTAAGGTAATTATACTGTTATTTTGTCAATAGTTAATAGAATCATATAGATCTTAAAATTATTACTTATTTCACTGATTTCTTAAAGTATTATTTAAAGAAATTGGAAGCTTGATTATTATTTTACTATTTTATTTATTTATTAAACCTTGCGTCCAAAAATTCAATATTTTTGTTTGTAATGGATATTTTTTTGTGACTCGAAGATTTATTCACATTGGAAAAAGATTTGTAGCCGAAGAATATGAATTGATCTTTTTTTTTTTTAAGTATGTTTTAACATTTGTAGATTCTATTATTCCGAAAATACTTCATCATCAATAGATTTTTTTATTCGAATAGTTATAGATACATTGTTAAGTTAAGTTTTAAGTTTTATTGTTAATATCAATATTGATAATAAGCATTTTTTTTTTAATTTACAGAACAACTTATCTATCCGTCCAGGACATTATACAATAAATAATTCATAAGCAGATCGGCCAAATTTGAGATAGGTATACTTATAGTAGTTTTTGTAATCTCAATACTAATGAATTTGATAGTCTATATTATTATACTATTTTGCAGATTTTACCAGAAGCCGAATACATTGAATCGTTACTTATTTGTTTTATGAAGACTATTGGAATCCTTAGTGCGTATCAGAAATTTGAAGTTAAGGTAATTATACTATTATTTTGTCAATAGATAATAGAATCATATAGATCTTAAAAATATTACACTTATTTCACAAATTTGTAAATATGTATTTAAAGAAATTGGAAGCTTGATTACTATTTTACATTACATTATATTTAGTACATTTATTCACAGAACCAATTGAATAATTACTGTTCAATTGTTTCTTAAGTTTTGGATGGTTCGATGATTTCTTGGAAAGATAGTATATCATTTATGAAATGGTTTATTGCTTCTACAGTTGTTCAAATTATTTTGCATACATATAATTGTATTCACATGAGTATAAATTTGTAATGATTAATATTTTTTATAGGTTACCGCTACAGGTTGAACAAATGTATTTAACCAATTTATATGGAACTGGGAACTACATCTATTTATTACTTGTGGAGACAATAATAATGGCTACTTCGATGACAGACAGAATAACAATAGTAAGTAATGAGATATTTCATAGGAAACATACATCTTACAATTTTTCTAAATTTGGAACTTGCGAATAATGAATATCTAGTGTAGCCGGTGTAAATTTTATTTACCCAATATGTTCTTGAATTTGTATAGCCATCAAAAAGTCAATTGTTGAAAATAATTACATTGAAATGGAACATCTGAGAATAAATAAAATGATTTGATTTATTATGTTCCTTTTGATATAAAATAAATGTTCTTATTTAATTTTTCAGTTTTTGGAGCTAAAATTGATGGAGCTGCTTAATGTTGAACTTCGAATTAATTGGTGATATTGTTAATACGTGAAAGAAGTATATTGCTTGAAGTTTTTTGTTAGTTTAATTAAAATATTTCGATAGTAGTGAAAAGTGTAAAAGTTTGTGTGTGCAATGTGATTTATGTGTGTAGTGATTTTTGTGATACATCCTGAAGGAGTTTTTATTATCGGAGTATGAATGCTGACTTCCAGCTAATCAAGAATGATTGTAAGGCGATATGGTAAGTGATATTTGTTTAAATGGCATGCTCATATACAGTAACGATCACACCAAATTCGCGAAAATATGATTGATATTGAGCAATGAAACTAATAATACATACTTATTTCAATTTAATCATGTTTACGCTATTGTTTTATAATGTTATTTATAGCTGATAACGTTGGCATATTCCATTACTTGTAAATGACTCGTAATTTCTCCGAGTTTTCGGACTTTTATTAAATTAGTTTCATACAAATTAGTTTTCTTGTATGAATTTGTTAAGGAATTCACAATTTAGCCTTTTATTTTGATACTTGCAAATTATTTTTGTTTATGAATTAGTTAAATGTTCTAAATATCTTTACGCTTTTTCTATTCTTTCAGTATTTGTTTATTTCACAATAATATTAGTAAATAGTTAAGGAATTTACGATTCAGTCTCTTTTATTTTGATACTTTCTTGCAATTAAATTTTTTAGTTAGTTTAGTTAAAGAATTCGCGATTTAGCCTCTTTTTTATACTTTCTTGCAAATTAATTAGTTCTTTGTTAGTTTAGTTAAGGAATTCGCCATTTAGCTTCTTTTGTTTGGATACTTTCTTGCAAATTAATTTGTTTTTATTAGTTTAGTTAAGGAATTCGTGATTTAGCCTTTTTTATTTTGATACTTTCTTGCAAATAATTTGTTTTTATGAGTTTAGTTAAGGAATTCGCCATTTAGTCTCTTTTATTTTTATATACTTTCTTGCAAATTGTTTTTATTAGTTTAGTTAAGGAAATTGTGGTTTAGCCTCTTTTATTTTGATTCTTTCTTGCAAATTGTTTTTTTTATTAGTTTAGTTAAGGAATTCGTGGTTTAGCCTCTTTTATTTTGATACTTTCTTGCAAATTAATTTGTTTTTATTAGTTTAGTTAAGGAATTCGTAATTTAGCCTCTTTTAATTTGATACTTTCTTGCAAATTAATTTGTTTTTATTAGTTTTTAGTTAAGGAATTCGCCTTTTAGTCTTTTATTTTGATACTTTCTTGTAAATTAATTTTTTTTGTTAGTTTAGTTAAGGAATTCGCGATTTAGCCTCTTTTATTTTGATACTTTATGCAAATTAATTAGTTTTTTGATAGTTTAGTTAAGGAATTCCTGATTTAGCCTTTTATGTCGATACTTTATGCAAATTAATTAGTTTTTTGTTAGCTTAGTTAAGGAATTCGCGATTTAGCCTTCTATTTTGATTTCTTGCAAATTGTTTTTTTTTATGAATTAGTTAAATGTTTTAAATATCTTTATGCATTCTATTTTTTCAGTATTTGTTTTTTCACAGTAATATTAATGAGTAGTTAGTAATTGAACAATAGACCCAATATTAGTATTTATTTCGATGAAATTGTTGTCAAATTTTATATTTGAACAGATTCGATTCTATATAGCAATTTCAGAATTATTATTTCGTTGGATGTATTGAATTTGAATCGTATTTACATTGAAAATTGTATTCATGTTTTATGTCGTTTTTTCTGTATGTGTAAAGGATACATTATTTTAAATAGTTTCGGTTCTACAAAAGGACTACAAACCAATTTTTGCATGACCTTTGTGATCTTACTATATACATATGTCTAATCATGATTGTATTTTTTTCAGATACATTAAAATAATTGTTTAAAATAAGTGTGATGTGCATAAGTGCCTTTAGTTTGGTGAACATATTAATAATATAAAATTTAAAAAAAAGTGGTTCGAGTTGTAGCAGCGATGCTGATTGGGTTAATTGGCCCCAGGTAGGACTATTGCGTATGTAGGTTTTTTTTATGTAATATGTTTTTTTGTCATTACATTCATATTAGATTAAAATGCTGGACAACTTGTTTCAATGGCATTTAAATTTTTATTTGGAAAAAATCATTTATTAGGTTAATGTTTTTACATAATGCCATTTTTTACATAAACAATCCTACAACGATTCGCAATAGTTTTGAATTACGTTTGCATGCATGCTTTTTACAACATACATAGATTGAATGACTTATTTACTTTGATCGTTTAATTTGATTCGATTTGATTAGTAAGTTCGATTTATTAATTTTGTTTCCTTGTATGTCGAGTTTTGGTTCTCGTGCTTTATTGAGATTGATAATGATTTGTAGATTTGTTTAAAGAATAAATATTTCTTTGTTGTAAGGTTTTCGTATTACGATATTATTAGTTCTTACAGTTTTCATAAATAGTTGCTTTGTTTAGATAGAACATTGTTTTAATTCTTCCACGATTTTACTTGGTGTTGTTAGTTCTTAAAGAGCTTCAATTCGTCGATTTCTGTCATTGGAAGTCATTGGAGGATTTTGGTCTCGATTTTATTCGTTCTTTCCTAATTGCACCGTCGTTTGTTCTTGTATCCTTGAATTTATTTGTTTCTGATAGTAGTAGTCGTTTATTGTGTATATTAAGTTTGGATTGAGGACCAATTATTGGGTGTAGTTTATTCATAATAGCTATAAGGTAAGGGGCCCAGTTTCTGACCTTTTTAGAGTGACGGTGGAGGTTAAACTATAATAATTAATATAAAACTTAACTTAATGAAGAAAATTATAATTTTATCTATTAGTTTAGGATTTTTAAAATAAAGTAATGTGCATAAAAAAATTATTTGAACTAAATTTATATTTTAAATTGACGTTTTAAAAATTGACATTAAGAGCTCCAGTTTCTGACCCTCAGAATTCTTCGTGTGGCAGTTTCTGACCCTGACCGTAGCCCAATTTCTGACCCTCAAATTTAATCATGATTAGGTTATGAAGTGCTTACTAATTTTAAATAAACCGAAATTATTATTAAAATAAATAAATTAAATATTTATTCTAAAAATATACAGTTTGTTAAAATTTAACGTATAAATAGTTCAAGTCTTGTTATAACATATTACACAAACAAAAAAAATAAAATTAAATATTCAAATTACTTGGACTTTTTTTTTATTTTAAGAGCTTTTTGTTTCTTTTTTTCTTCAAGTTTTTCTTTTTTAATTATTTTTTCTGCCTCCTTGATGGCTTTATTTTTGGACCTTTCAGCTTTTTTCAATTCTTTTTCTTCTTCTAATTTTCATTTAATTAATTGTAATTGTATAATTGTATAATAATAAAAATATTAGTAAACTAAAACAGTTATAATTTAAGCGTTGATAAAACTGACATTTTTTTATTAATAATTTTATC